ACACCCTTAGCAGGATGCAGCGCACCCTTCATGCGACTCGCCGAATACCTCACGGCGCTTCGCGCTTGGTGATGTGAGAGCCTGGTCCGGTGAGAACCCGGCGTGCTCCGTCCCGGCTTTGTAGGGATGCGAGGTCAATGGTCTAACGACTACGGCATGCACGACAATGAGTATCCCCCCCCTCCCTCCTGACGGCTACGTCGTGGTGCATCGAGCTACCCCGCCGCTTGCAACAAGCAAGAAAAGCCACTGCACGTGAGGAATACCGGAGAATCACCCTACAACAGCCGTAGAAGAGTGAGATCCGTCCTGGAGACAGTTGCGGTCATGCTTTCTAAGATATTCCCCGTCTCATTGGCAGCAACCCTTCCTGTGTGGAAGCATCGCGCAAACTGCTTTCCCCCTTGTTCGAGAACGAACGTGTGTTAGATACAACCGAGTGGTCGTTGTAAAATAAAACGGAGAGAAGGGCGAGCCAAGGACGGACACGTTGTGCTTCCTTTTCGACCGGAAACTATTTTGCGAGGTGCTTTCATACCTGGTGGGTGGTTCGCTTCTGCCAGTGACATACGGCACATACTAACCAGGACTACCAGTCTAACATATGTGATTGCTCCCTCGTACTCTCGATCTCTTTTTAATGTCGCCGTCACCTTTCAGGGCCTACGACGTCGGAGACCCTGTCTACTTCGTGGACGACACGGGTAGCGAGGATTGGTACGTCGTCACGCGGATCAACATGCTTACCACGGTATGTCAGGGGTAGCAGCAGGCGACCTGGACGCGCGCGTACATAGGCACTACTCATGCCCTATCTCCCTATCGTCTTTGCGACTTAGACGTGTACGGTTCCTGTTGGCCACCGTCGCCGATGCACCCTAGTCTGTCAACGTAACCGCTGACCTGGCACGTTTCAGGTCGCATCACGGGGGTAACAAATACTTAACGCCCGCCCCTCCTTCCCCTTCCTCCCTTATGCTCGACCCGCGATGGGAACATGCGGTAGTGTTGCACGTTTCCCCCTTACTCCCTTCCCCAACTACTCCGGGTCACGCTCCAGGTATTCCGACGGTGGGATGGCCAAGCCACGATGGTCCCTAACAATATCATGGCCAAGAAGACCATCCGCAACCAGTGGCGGTCGGGCCCTTTCCTGCACTATACCAGAATTGCCATTTTGGCGACCACCCCGATGGAGGCATTGGACCGAATGAAGGCTGGTATCGCCGCCGGCATGCGGGTAACAACCAAATGTCTTCCAAAAATGCATCACTTTTACTTTTCCATCGATAGTCGGTCACCCTGTCGTCTAGTGGGTTACCTCGCGACCTCTGGCAGCGCGAAAAGCACGCTTTCGTACACGCACAAAGAACTGTGCAAGCACCCACCTGCCCACACCTGCCTGCCTGCGCCTGTTCATCTCACGCGTTACATTTCTATATCGAAGTTGCAGTACCTCGTCTTTGTTACTGCATGTATGATGCGACCACAGCGCGGGCGCTATCGCAATCGACACGCGGAAGGCGGTCTGATGCCGGACACGGTGGACTACTGCGTCAAGGAGCTCGCCGACGGCAACCGCGTCACCGTCTTCGTCTGCTGTTTGCAGCGCGAGAACAGCGCCAACATGAGCCGGCGCTTCGGGAACGCAAGCTTCTTCCTCAAGCTCATCGTGCGGGAGTGCATCCGCCATGGCATCAGCTACACCTTGCCCCCGCAGCCCCTCACCATCGCGGGGGAGGCGGAGGCTCTGCGTGTCCGAGAGGCTTTCTTGGGAGGGAAGCTGAGCTGAGCGGCGCTGACGCTTGAGAACGGGCTGAATAAATTGGTTGTCGAAGTCTTCATATTAGATGTGCTTCTGGAGCAACACTAACCACACCCTCTCAACCGACGACAGTTTTGGGCAGTACGTTCGCCTTCCCTACTGGCCCGTGTCCGCGGGAGGCACGTTTCGCTTGTTTGTTTATTCATGATCTGGGGGATTCACTCTACATGTTGGCGGCTCGTCATTGCTGTTCAGCAAGTCCCCCCCCCCCGCCTGATTCCTGGTCAAGGAACACTTGTTTGACGTGGTGGAAGTAGTGGTGAAAACGGAGTTCGAGGAAAGTCTATGGCGAAAGATACCTGGGGGGCGGGGTGAGAAAGATTTGTTTCTAGGGAACCTATACGTCCCACCGTCGTCGAAGAAAGTCGCAAGCAAGGCGCAGGGGAACTTTGGACAAATTGGGGAAGATGTCCAGAGGTTCAGTAGGAAGGGAGAAGTTGTCACGGTGGGCGATTTCAACTCCAGAGTAGGGAAAGCTTCCAGTAGGGGACAGGCGATTGGGCAGCACGGAGATGACAAAGTGAATGACAACGGAGTGAGGATGCTTGAATCCTTGGGAAGCAACGAGCTGATGGTGTTGAACGGTAGGNAAGCGTTGAAGGCGGACAGGTAGACGTACAGGCAGCAGGGGACAGGATGATTGAAGGGTGGGAGTCCATAGTGAACGCAACGGCAGAGGGAGTAGTGGGAAAGAAGGTGGTACGATGTGGGGTATCGGTTAAGTGGTGGGATGAC